TACACAATGTTCTCCTCTTCGATATCAACAAATCGAAATCAGTTTTTCTTATGAAAATGCTAAAAAAAACGAAGATGTGTTTAATTTTAAACTTTTGTTGGACTCTCATGTACATTTCTCCGGAAAAGTTTTGTCGGCGCCGATGGAGACTGCATATTTCTTGGTTGCGCGTCTCTCATCTTGCTCTTCCTTGCTCTTCTCGAGAGGCAAATTACAAGTTGATTGAAATGGAGCATACTTGTCTCTCAGTTTATTTACTTGCGACGAGTAAAATTGACAAAGTGCTATAAATCCTTAATTATGAAACTAAATTGCTATTATTATTGGACGATGCTAAAAATACGCACACCCGGATATATTCGGAAATATTAAAATTATTATTCGCGTTATTTAGGCGCGGCAGATTTTCAAATTAATATAATCAGTTTACTTGTAAACCAATAATTGGTGAATAAAAATAATCTTTTGCCAAAAGTTGATTTTCCAAGGATAGCAAATATATTACCTGCAAATTAGAACGGAAATATCGCAGATTGTAGAGCGAAATTATCGATGAATTCAATGAATCAATAATTGAATACAATTGCTTTTCCTTAACCGCACGCGTAAATTCTGTAGAGCAATGAAGGACTAAATACCCCGTGCTTAACGCGATGTCGATCGGTCAACTTCGCCGGCCGATTACCGACATTAATTCGCAATTATTATAATCCTCGGCAGCGTCGAGGCTCTCGCGCGCTCGATGCGGTTCTCTCCCCCAGAGCATCCCCCCCGTTCTTTCCGCCTCTCGAACCCCGGGGATGGCGCTCACAATGGAAATGTTAAGCGAGTCGTGGATTCGCAACGCTCGTCACTCTCGTTTGGCATTGGACGAGCCGAGTTCGTGTCTACGGACGTCAATTTGCGCGACTGGAACGTCAAGGGGGTCGAGGGGGTTGATCTCGCCTTCTTTTCCTTCCCGCAGCCTCCAAATGCAGGCCTCTCTCTATCCACATTGCCCCGTCTAGCTGCGCAGATTCTCTATGCGCGTGTGTGATAGCGGCAGCCGACGATCGTGGTGCTTGAAATCAAAACACACCCCAGGGGCTGTCCGTCGATTATTATCGTTTGCACGCACCGCTCGCGATCGTGACAATCGCTCGAGCGACTTTTGACGGCACGCCTAATTCGGTACTCAAACCTCGGCTCCGCCGTATCTCACCGATTTAAAAGCGATGTACACGGGCTATCTCCCGGGAGCGTTTTGACGTGTATTCACTTCCACAATTGTTTCGTCTGTCTTACGCAATTTATATTTAATTTTCAACCCACGCACAGTAAGCTTCTGCGCAATCGTGTACAAGTAACAGACACCTTGCCTCTTCACTTCCAATTAAGATGTAATTATTATCTCCTGTGTTCATTTTATTATTAATTTTTATTTCTATTTGCTCTCTCATTTTATTTTATGACAAATTGATTATAATCGAATCTGTATCAGAGAAAAGCGCTGGTCAATTCTGACAAAATTAATGTTTATTTGATAAAAATTTGCTTAGAAAAATATTACTAAACAAATTCATTTTTACAGAAATATGTTTATTCAAACATATTCAAACAAAACATATTTAAACTGTTTTCTAGAAAAAGTTTAACTGAGTCAATGAATTAAAAGATTTAGAAATAATTGTTAAAATCTTTCAGGACACATACGTTTGAAAGATTTTAACAATTATTTCTAAATCTTTTAAATCATCGATTGAGTTAAACGTACATCCTTTTTCTCGAGTTATCAAATATATCAACCAGAAGGCAAAATGATCGCGGACGAGACGAGCTGACAAGAAGAAATTACGTAATTTCGTCAGAGAAGCGTTAGAAGTCTCTCTCCTTGTTAGTTTCTCCTTCGTGATTTTCTGCGACTGCGGATTCAACCCCCTCGGAAAAATAATCTTTTTCTTCTCATTCCCTTTATGTCTCTTTCTCGCACCCTTTCTCTCTTTTCTCCGACGTCCGCTGCGGATGTCAAAATATGACAGCTCTCTCGAGTCACCACTTTCGCGACAAGAGTTACGTCACAGGGGGTTGCCGTGGCCGATCATTAAAGTAAGGGCGCGCTTGTGACTCTTTTGCAACGTAGAGATTAGGTCGGTGTCTGGTCAAGTGGTTGTTAGTAAAATTAAGGCACCGGACAGGCTTTTATAAACGTTTTAATCGCTATATTCATTTAAAACTGATGTTTGTCTTAAATATATTTTCATAGTGTGGAATAGCGTTTATATAAATTTGGAGATTCTTGCTTTTCTCAAATCTTGAGAGTGTACAATAAAAACTTGAAACGTCGTCCAAAGATTTACGTGTAGTGTTTGCAATCGAATTTATTATCTATAAAAATATGACACCACAAATTAACTATTTGTTATAGTTTTCTACATCTCGATACAAAATGTGTTATTTTCTTGTATAAACTCAAATATAAAGGAGGGTTGATAATCACTGGCGCGCTTCGCTAAGCTGACGGAAGCGGTAAATGGTTCGCAACCAACCCCCTCGACGAGACGCTAATTCATATTCATAGATGTAGCGTTTAGCATTACGCCGTTAAATTCCCCGGAGAGTTGGTTAAGAGACAGAGTGGCTAATATTTCTATTCGTATTTCCGCTCGTTGAGAAGGTGGCAAGGGCTCCTTCCACTTTTTTAAATAAATCAATTATTTGTCTTAACTTTTTGTGAACAACGTGGAATCGACAAGAGTTTATAAAAATTAATAATAAATGCCGGAAGTTTCAGTCGTTATTAATAACAATGTTCATTAGTTCATTAATTTTGAGCAGAGTAGTTGAGAATGAATTATCAATCAATACAATAAGTTCTCGTGTAACACAGAGGATATATTTCCGTGTTATATGAAACTCATTAGTTTACACAATTCAAAAGTATATTTTTTATCATAACCGAAATACTATTTTTTATTTAACGTTTCAACGGTAAAATATTTTGTATTTTAACTTGGAATAAAACAGAAGAAGGTTTAATATAACTTCTTCATTATCTAAGTAAAAAAGTAAAAAAGCTCTTCGAGGGAAATTAATGTTCAATTGCGGTCAGAGTTATCCAAAAGTAGATTTTAACAAAATCTTTTTAAATGCAACAATATATGCTAGATTATATATGCAAAATCCCCATTTCGTAACACATTGTGTAATCTCAACTATTTTGGCGTAATTAACTTAAAGTGAAATACGTAATCTGATGAAGTACAATCGAAATAGGATTTCTGTTTAGAAATAAAAGATTTCAAAATTTATTTACAGATTTAATCTTTAAGCATCAAGTATAAACTACTTTAAAGTGTTACTTTTAATTCGAATGATTCGACAATTTAGGCGCATAAAAAAATTAATACAGGGTGAGTTTTATTTAATATAAAACCAGTCTTTTTCCACGAGAGCTAGAAATAAAGAAAAAATTGACAGGAAATTGTAGAATTTTTTTACACTAAATTATAAAAATAAGCTTTAGTCGGCGCTACTGTGTTCAATCTAGGTCAAACATATGCATAAGTCTTGCCCATATTTTTATTTTTAACACATTAACGTCATGCGCCATAGAATTTACTGATGACTCGTCACCCGATTTTTCGGTTATGTAGAAATTACCAGTGATGGACATTAACGTACTAAAAAATCATAAAGTAATATAATGATGAGTTATTCTGCAAGTAGGCATAATAAACATTAAAATAATAACATGTGAAGTGTACATATAAATATTTCTATTTTTATTCGAAAACAAATATTATAATATTCCACTTCTAGTCAAAGCTGAATCTTCGTAGCTAAATAATAATTCTGTGTAAATTTTGTATACTTTTCCAAACTCAGTAACTGCGCGCTGTTTGTCGGTTTTAAAACAGTTCTTTATCTGTTGGAACAGTAAATTTACATACTTAAATCGATAAACGATTTGTATTATTTTCAAACTCAGTAATAAATTTAAGAATTACTTTCTGAAACAAATTACATTGTATATGAAGTCCAAATGTGAACAAACTAATTAAGATTTTACTATGACGAAAAGATAAGCAAACTTATATTGTATGACTTTAGCTTTTCACTTTAGTCACACGAATACGTGAATGTATGTGATATTCAAATATATGTATGTATTTGCAATACATTGAGTTCGGATTCCGTGGGATCGCTAACAATAAGTCCAATTGTGCGGATCAGTTATCCCTGCGGTAAGATTGTAAAAAATTTACGAAGTTAATTATTAGACATAAATTGTGATACCAGAATAATACTTGGACAATACTTTAGAATAAATGACTTGGGCAATCATTGGACATTACGCGATTCTATAAACCATTTACAATTATTACAATTATACTGAACTTACTTATTACTTGGAATTTTAAGTTAAAAAAAATTGGCTAGTTATTTAAGTATTCCTAGTCACACAATGAGTCATAAGATGCTGTTGCATATAGAACGAGGCACTGTACAGCGCGCCGCACGCCGCACGTGACGCGTTCAAGATGATCATTTTTTTTAAACTATGTACTATCCCTCCGATCGTTTTAAAACTCTGACATGTTATTCTAGAGAATTTAAAGATTTTTAGGGGGAAAATAGTGATAGTGCATCTTATAAAAAAATATTTAAAAAATTTTGAAAAATTTTGATCCGTTTTTAACAAAAATTCCGTAATTTTTTTATAATGTTGCGGCACTGAAACCCATAACATTTTTTTTTCATCAAAATCTGTTCAGCCGTTCTCGAGAAAATTTTTTCCATTTTTCTTACCCCCATAACTCCCACAAAAAAAATTTTTTCAGATATAATGTTTTGGGAAATCACGAGATACGGTAGTGTCTTGCGCCAAGTATAAGCGTAGCTAGAACCGCGCGAGTTTAATCTCACATCAATGTCAGCTTATTGTAAAAATCACAACTAGATCCTAGCAGGGGCAACAGCTTATCCTGCTATGCCCTTTAAGAATAATGGTAACAATTGTCTCCAAAACTCATTGTAACGTTTATATTTCATGTTTACAATATAATACAAAAGATTTTATTATATATAATACAAATAAATATATATTTTTACTTTATATAAATATATATATGTATATGATTGTTGAATAATTGCAAACGAAGTTTTCTCAACAAATATAAATAACATAATAAGTGCAAAAATTAAACTTATCTTATGTTTATCATTACAAAGAATCTGAGTACGTATTGTTCATACAGGTCCTCCAGGTTTCGGCTTTACATTCGATTTGTGAAAGTGGTGATAATTCGGGAGTACTTTCAGCAAAAAGTCCAACTGTCCAATTTGAGGCTGAAATACAATAAAGGAAAACCATATTTGGGCACGTGAAATTACCGAATAAAACTGACGGTATACAACAGTATACAACAATTACATATGGCTTGTCGTTCATTTCTCTACGTTGACATTGGCTGCCGTACACTATTGTATTTTCTGGTACTGTTTCTTGCTCCGTCAATGAGCACGCAGCTCCAATAACGCACCCATTGGTTAATTCAATTTCTCGACTAACTTGCGCTTTTGGAAAAATAATACTTACATATAAGTTAATTATAAACGCTTATAATTAATTAATAGTGACACATTATATAGTTCTTAAAGGTCCTTATCTCCTAGTCTGATATAAAATAAATACTACTTATACAATTTAATACTACCATCACAATATCTGCTAAAAGCAACTGCTATGTACCTTTTGCCTCTAAGATGTTGTTATCGCCAACTTTATACGACTCACAAACGCAGTCAGTCTCAAATACATTATAGTTCCCTATTATTTGCACTGGTACCGTTGCAGGCTCGGGAGCATCGGGTGGCAACCTGTACAGTGCCACTAAGTTAATAATCAGTATGCCACTGCATATAAACTGCAAACGATGCTAGCACATTGAACTTGCCTGTTGGCTATAGTTGCCATTTCCTCAATAATATTGCCTTCCCCTATAATGATCGGACCAGCCTCCGCCAGAATACATGCTCTAGGGTGGATTATCGTTCTCGCACCAATGGAAATATCCCCTTTCAGAATACTCTCCTCGCACACTACTGCGCCAGGTGCAATTTTTAAGCTGTACAAACAGTGTTGTTGTAAACTTACAGCTCTTAAAAAAGATGTAATAACTAACGTTTTTAATTCCCTCTCACTCATTATCATAACTTGAGGCATTCATGTGGTGCTTATATTAAAAGATGCTGAACGTCATCTTGTTAATTATATTTATGTTATTGCGTGTATTTACACATTATATTATTGTAAATATGTGCAACCAGGTTAGGGACTGACCTAACCTCAAAATATAAGAAATTTCGCGATGCAACGTGAAAAAACACGAGGTTAGATACTACCATTATCTCTGAAATTGCCTCGTGATTTTATATGATCATTATTGAACTTACTTGGCGCGGCGATAAGCCGAAGAATTGTTAGAACTCATTTTCCCGTCCATTTAATCGATGACAATTCCTTCTCTTCCTTACTACAGTTACAGGTGTATACATGTACTATATCGACTTATCGAAGACTACGCCATTTTCTCTCGATAGTATCGTGCAAGAAGATTTGAAATTTCCTACAAAGAAAACACTCTGCTAAAGAAGAATTCTTAAATAAAACTGTGCAAACAAAATTAAATATTCAATTATTAATCAAAGTGAGACATGCAAGAATAATATTTAAGTTTAGTAACATTTTTTGCTTAGAAAATAGAAATTAGCTTTTTGATAATTAATTTGCAAAGTAATTTACACATGTTGGATTAAAAAAATATTATGTCATCTCTTTTATTCTTAAATTATCAAAATAAAATTACGAGTGTTCTTCACATTGACAGCAATAAAACAATTTGAGCATTCTTAGTTTCTTTGTAAATGACTTTTAATAAAAAGTGATAAGTAAAGAGATAATAAATATATTTTCGAAAATCATTGTCTATTCTACATTTCTTCTGCAAATGTTAAATATCAAAAAGTAGAGCAATTGATTTTATAATAAAATAATGTTTAAAGTTCCGTCTGTTAGTATAATTATTATAATTATAGAAAATAAAGGAAACACTTAAACAACATTATTATTGTAAATAATTTCTCATTAGAAATAAATTTCAAATATTTATGAGATTAAATATGATTTTAATACGTTAATCACTTCTTAAAATCTTGATTTATATTTATTAAGATGTACATGAGTAAAATAGTTTAATATATTATTATAATATAATAAAAATTAAAGGATCCCTACAATGAGAACTCTTATAATGTGCAAATATTTTCTGTATTCATTTAAGCTATTTCAGGGATACGAGAGAGAAAAGGGAAACCTCGCGATTGTGATTGCGCAACAAAAGGGATAATGTATTCACACATGAGAAACACATGAATACCTTCGTTTAGATATTTAACATAACTCTATATTATCCGTCAACTTTTATATATATATTTATTATATATATTTTTTATATATTATATATTATAAAATTTAACTCCAAATTGCGATAATAACGTCTAATTGCAACGTGCGTGCGGGTGTACGTGTTGCGCCTTATTGTACGCGTGTGTGTATATGTGTGTACTGTGTGAATGTATTTCGTATGTATTGTGCATGTCTGTGTGTATGCGCGCTTGTGTGTATACGTGTGTAAGTGTACGCTTTTGTACGTGTGTTACGTGTATGCGTGTTGCTCTCGAGTAAAGGGGATAGAGATGTGAGCGAAGAAGGGTTGTTAGATGGTATGCATCTTGCACTCGCGCGTAACGTGACTGTGTACGTGTTCGATCTACAATTAAACGAATCCTACGCACTTACTCGTTAATCGGCAGAATAATATGCATTCTCTTAATTTCTCGCTATAAGTATATGCAACCGTCCGAAAGCGTGTCAGTCGGCGCACCGTGACGGATTCGCCGTCGCTCTCGTCGATCCTTTCTCGATCGCGTATGATTCTCTCGGATGCATATTGAGACTTTTGCCCGCACACTGTCGCGCAAACGAGCACCTTCTAATCTCGTTAAAATAATAAAAGAATAATCAGCCCTTTCTACTAACTAATTTTGTCAATGATAACGAGATTGTGTCACTAAAAACGAATAAATTTTGTGCTATTTGACATTGACAAAGTTGTACAAGTTTGTTCCTCAGACGAAATAGGATTTAAACATGAATATGATATAACGCTGTCGCGTAATTTAAGAAAGTAAGCGCAACATTTGAAAAAGCGGTAAT